AGCCTGCCCTGCTTTGGTCCCTGGCTGAGCAGCAGCTGCTCCAGAGCCAACTCCATTCCTGCTTTTTTGCTTCCCACAGCCCGAGAGGGATTTTTTCGGGAGGCCAGTCCAGCGGAAAGAGGCGGCCCCGGCCCCAGGTGGGTGACACAGGGACGGGGTGGCCTCAGAAATGGGTGACACAGGGACGGGGTGGCCTCAGAGATGGGTGGGTGGCAGCAGGGCCAAACAGAGCCCAGCCCAGCTGGCAGGGAGATCCTGTGGGCAAATCCATGGATTCTGGCCCCATCCAAAGGGAATTTTGGGTGTTGGAGGCGTTGCAGCATCCGGGACGTGGGAACATCAGCTCTGCCCTTCCAAACCCTCCCCAAATCCCCCCTCTCCAGCCAGGGCACAGCTGAACATTTTAAGGTTCACGTTTTTAAAGTGGATTTTCCTCCTGCAGCCCCTCAGGTTTCCAAGGAGGAATCCCTGGAGCTGCAGATGGGAAAAGCCGTGGGGAAGAGCGACGTGTGGTTCCGCTTCAACGAGGGCTTCTCCAACGCCGTCAGGAGGAATCTTTACATCAGGGACCTGCTCTAGCAGGGCTGGGAGGGAGCCAGGAATTCTGGAGCTGGAGGGATCAGCTGGGTTTTGGCTTTCTAACCCATGGATGGGGTTTGTGGCCGTGATCCTGGTGTAGTTGGTTTTTTATTTTGTTTAAAAAGAGAAATAAAATGGATCTACAACAATCAGCAGGGGAGTGTTGCTCTGTTTATTCCAGTCATAAACCTCGAGTTGTGCCTGCTCTGCTGCGAAATGATGTCCTACGGTGTACAAAAGTATCTAAAATCACTAAAAATGGGGTTTTTTATAAAAAGCTCATTTATAAGGTGCAAGATCTGCCCCTTTTTTGGGTGGCAGACATGTGAGATGAAGCTGCAGCAAAGCCCTGGGGAAGCTCTTGCTGCTCATTCTGGGGGATTTCACCCCATTTCTAAAACCCCGTCTACAGCTACGAGAGAAGAAAGGAGGTGAGGGCAGGGTTTTCCTTCAGCTTCTCAAGTTGGAGCTGAGGAATGGAAGCTCCATCCTGCAGGGGGGACCCTCAGAGGATGATGCATTTGCCTTTCTCCACCCAGGGGTTGTTCTTCATCAGCTCCGGGTTCAGGAAGGGATCTTCGGGAATTCCGTCCTCGATCCACTTCACGAACCTGCAGAGAGGGGAGGGAGCGTGGGCACAGCCCCAGGGCAGCAAAACTGGGGATTTTGGGGGGTCTGGGGTAAATCCTGCTCTGGTGAGGGGATCCTGATCCACTGGGGGGACATGGGGGTGTCCCCAGCTCTGCCACAAAGCAGGGAGGGAACAGAACCATCCATAATTTCCAGTCTTTTGAGCTCTGGAAAGCTCTGGAAAAGGGGGGGATCTGCACCCTGGGGGGCTCCCAGGGGCCAGGAGGTGCCGTGGTGCCACCACAGCCCAGGAGCAGCAGAGCCTGGGCAGCTGGAAAGGGCTGGGGGACACCGAGGGGGTTCTGCCCATGGGGCTTGGAGGGTTTGGAGATCCTGAAAGGGAAAAATCTCATCTGGGAACCTCTAGGGAACTGAGGGGGGAGAAGGGGGGAGAAGGGGGGAGAAGGGGGGAGAAGGGAAGGGAAGGTGCGGGAAGGGGGGGGAA